AAAGAGTGAGTTAAGGGGAAAAGAAAATGAGCAGAGAGTAATTCTGATGCTCTGTACTGACGCCCTTGCGACCATCAAACAAAGAACAAAAAATAAAAACAACCCAACTGAGACAAAACTGACAGACTAAGACCCTTGTTAAACAGAATCACAAGTAAAAATACAAATGCTAAAGCCCAGCAGAATAAATAATATGTAAAAAGCACTTCAGGTCAGCAGACACTGCATAATATGATCTCGGGGGAAGACAAAGACAGAACTGGTTCCAAGCAATCTTATTTACTACCCTCAGTAGCTGAAATACTTTACACTGTTGCATAGCACTTGACAAATCCCTTTCACATACACATCATTCATTTAGCATGTATCTCGTGTGAAGAGAGGCAAGTCAAATCATTATTATCCCTATTTCTTCATAGATGGAGAAAGCAAAAGCAAGAGAGGAAGAAACTGATATGCCCAAGGTTGCATGGATAGTTAAGTGATAGAGACTAGAGCCAAGACTTGTGACTTCAAGTTCAGTGCTCTCTCCAGGAAACTGGGCTACCTTTACCAACTCTGAGGAGATCGCTACGAATTATGATAGCATTATTTATTCTTTTCTTATTCCTTGCAGTTTATTGGTTATCAAATCCTAAAGAATCAATAAAAGAAAGACTGTATCCCATTTCTTGACTTGATAGTTAAAATAGCCTCCAATATCTTCCTGCAAAAGTTTATTCCCGTATCAAAGGAATAAACTTTTTCAAACACATTTGCTCCTGAAACTCCAAAGACACATTTATCTCATAATAATAAGTAATTCTGTAATAATCTAAATAAATTAAAACAAATATTTTAAGTTTTAAAAATGAACTCTTAAGCTAGAAAACATATTGCCAAACATACTGTCTCTGCATTAATGGAAATAAAACGTTACAGAAGCAGTAAATAAATCATCCTTTCTCTATTCTTCATTCTTCAACTTAACCACTAACTATGGCTTGGTATCAAGCAGAGGTTATACAGAAGAGACAGATGAGTAACAGTTTGGGAGAGAGCTTTAAGAAAGAGGGCATGATCAGTAGTAACAAATGATGCAGAGAAGTAAAATAAAACTAAATTTAGAAGGAAAAAAACAACCAAGTTTCACAACAACCCAATGGAGGTTCTCAACACCAATTCAGGAAGGTGGTTACAAAAGAAGCCAAAATATATCCAGTTCCATAGGAAATGAAGAAGTAACAGATCTTCTTTCTAAATGCTTTGCTCTAAAAGAAAGGAGAAAAGATGGCAACTAGGATTCCAAAGTTAAGGGCATGGTTTTTTAAAGGGGAAAGTCTTGGACATATTTAAGTGTGAGGAGCCAATATCAGTAAAATACAAGCTGGCACAAAGGGGAGATCCTATATTTGCTCTGGTAAATAGAAATTAAAGCAAGGTTATATAGTGAGAAATGGACTAGGCCCGTGGTTGGCAAAACCGCAGCTCGCGAGCCACAGGCGGCTCTTTGGCCCCTTCAGTGTGGCTCTTCTGCAAAATACCACACGCGGGCGCACACATACAGGGCAACTGAAACTTCGTGGCCCATGCACAGAAGTCGGTATTTTGTGGAAGAGCCACACTGAAGGGGCCAAAGAGCCGCACTTTGCCGACCACTGGACTAGGCGATACAGAGGGGAGAAAAAGGCTTATATTACAACTATTAGGAAATGGGAAAAGAAGGAGGCCTATAATAGACTAAAGGCCCAGTGCACAAAATTCAAGCAGGGTGTGTGTGTGTGTGTGTGTGTGTGTCTCACTAACCCCCTTGCTGGCCTGGCCCCCCTTGCTGGCCTGGTCGTAGGCAGTCATCTTGTGAGGGTGTGAAGGTTAATTTGCATATTACCACTTTATCCTATAGAGGGATTGTGGGGCAGCACTGAAGGGCCAACTAAGATTAGATTCAATGAACCTGGACTGAATCAGTTAGTAGTTTTTCCTTAGAGAAGATAGAAAAGCAAGATGGCAAGAAGGGTGCTGTAAAGAGGATGGTGCAAGGGCTGTTTAAGACAGTGGGTAGTTATTTTGCTTTACCTCTCTGAATCAATAAACTTGATATCTGAAATGGTATGCTTTTTTTTCCTAACCTTTTTAGCATTTTGCTATGAACATAATGAATACAATGGCAAGTACTTGTTTCATGCCTAGAGAACTCTCTTACACTTAGACAACATTCCCTATTTGTTTCAACATAGTTTTATTAATGTTATTAAGACATCTGAATTCACTGGCTGGCTGCTTGGCAGCATCCACAAAGCAACAAATCTGGTCTACAAGTAAGAGCTAGTTAATAAATGATTTTCACTTGATACTGCAACATGGTCAGAATAACCCCTTTTATGGATCACTTCTATAAATTTGTCTCATTCTATTATAATGGGATTGCCTACTATCCTATTATCCCATTTCATTATTTTCCACTATCTCTCTAAATTACAAAAATAAAAAAATCATTATTCAGATCATTATAAGGCTATACCCCTCCTCCCCTCAACAAGCTATTTCACTATTTTTCTACTTTTCTTCTTCAGTGGTAGATCTAAGACCCCATGCTGTGTTACTCTCTTGTCCCCCTTCCATCAATCCTGCTTTACCTTCACTAATTTGGTAGGCCTCTTCTTTATCTTGCTCTGGATCTGTCTCAACTGCGTTTTCCAATGGTGGAGTTGTCCCAATTCTAACTCTCTTGGTTGTCATTTTAGCTTAAAAAAAAAAAAGCCCAATTTATTTACTTACAGTAACAATATTTAAATTGCTTTTAATGATAAGTAACAATTTTAACACCTTTTTTGAAAACAATACTCAAATTTGGGAAGGAAGCTTATTTCTAATATAAAATAAGAAAATTTTATTTAAAAACATTCAGCATTAGTCTAAGTATTCTTTTATTTTCTGATTTATCTTGTTCCAAACTGTATCTTCCTACCTGTGTTCCCTAAGAAGCCTATACATATTTTTCTATTTTGTTACACAAATCTGTGGGACCTTCCTAGTATTTTTTTCTTTTTAGTATGGATAACACTTTCAAGATTTCCTTATTGGATATTATTTTGATCTCCCTCAAGTCCTGAAGATGAGCTGACCTATTATTCTATGCCCTCAAAATATTACTTAACAGTGAAATGGTACCTTCTTAAATTCTTTTAAATCCAAAGTATACGCAAATACTGGGAGGCGGTCTGGTATAAACAACCTTCTACTTACCAAAGCTAGTTTCCCAGAAACTGCACATATACCATTCCATTCCAATTTTAATATTGGCACTCTAGCTTGCTTTTTGGTTTTGGTATCTTTTTCTTGAGGTATAATAACTTGGGGCGAGGGCTACTCTGTAAGAGAAATCTGTGAAATCTGTACACATTTCCTTGGCTATAACTATTTGTTGGCTTCTTTTATCAATAGAGTAAAAGCATTAGAAATGCTGCAACATGTTTTTAAAATATTTTAAATGTAATACCCTCATAAAACAGAAAGCAACCGCTTCTAAGTATCTACCTGCTAAGTGCCTCTCAACCATGGTGTTCAGATCTTCTTCCACAACATTCACACTTACTGGACCCACTTGGGACAAGGCTTCAAGTTTTGTCTTCCTTGTGTCCATAGCTCTCTTTTTCCTATCCCCTCTTTTATCTGTGGGATGTTCATTTTTGCTTTGTGCTAATTCAACTTTTAAATCATCTCCATCTTCCTCTTCTCCAACTTCATCAACAGTAACAAAATTAAGCTCTTCTTTAAGGTTATTAAAATCTGCCACAGAGTCTTCATCCTCTTCATTTACTTCATCCAAAGTCACTAAGTGCAGATCACTGCTGTCATCCTGTATTTCATCTACAGTAACCAAAGTAGAAGGGTCTTCAGGCATCTGGGAAGAAATGAAGTCAATGGACTCACTTCCAGTATTTTCCTCATTTCCTTTAGTATTTAAAGTGGCAAAACTTAAGTCTGCTGATTCATTTAAAGGTAGCTCCTCTACTTCTCCAATTTCATCCACAGTCACCAGGCGTTCCTGTTTGAGAAGATCTTGTTCTTCAGCCACCGACAGTACAATAACATCTTTAGGTTCACTGTGGGATATGCAATCGTCTTGATCAATTAACTCATCTAATGTAAGAAGTGAATTTGAATTTTTTACCATTTCTTCCATATTTATTTCTTCTTCATCAATAACTTCGTCTACAGTGACCAGAGCTTGTGCTAGGTGTGCATCTTCCTCTTCCCCAATCTCATCCAGTGTTACAAAAGATAATTCTCTCTCCACAACATGCGGGCCAGAAGTTTTCCCTTTCTTCTTCTTTACAGGAAGTTCAGAGGAAGGGATATTTTTGAGAGCTTCTTTCCTTTTTCCCTTTAGTGGATTCTGTTTGGCTTGCGAAGGATTCACTTCTTCTATAACCTCATCCACAGTAACAAACTCATCCAAATTAAATGGAAATAATGGTTCCTGTTGGAAAGGTTAAAAAAAAATCAAAGAATTGTGAATAACTACTAATAAACTGACTACATTTCAAATAGCCCAGTAAATGTGCATGAAGTATCATTTGTGAGAATTTTAGTGCAGAGAGGTTTCCTAAAGGTTGAAATTAGTTATTTTTAAAAGCCCAAGAAATGAATTAGCTGTAATTCACAAGGTAAACAATGCAAAGGGCAAAACCCTAGTAATAACCTAATTCCACCTTCACTTAATTTCAATAAGACTATAATTAATTCCTAAATAATGTGCAAGTTTTAAAATATGATGGACAAAAGCATTTATCAAACAATATAATACAAAGAATTCACTGTTTCATATGTTAAATATCACAATGAAGTTAAAAAGTAAATAGCTACCAAGATAGTTCCATGGACCAGTTTATACGTAATATATATTTTAAGATATGCAGCACTTAAATATAAAGTTTACATATTGATAAAGTTATATGGAAAATTACTAAGACCTTGTGGCAAGTATTAATGCACTTAAAAAAAAAAGTAGTACCTATAATTCAAAAAATAATGCCAATAGTAAAGAAAATAATTTCCCAGCAGGCTTTTCCTATAACATTTAGTATGCTATCAATGATTAATTATTAGTATATATAATAATGACATTTGAATATATACCCAGTAATTTGGGGAGGAAGGAATCTGTAAGCAGTTGTATTATCAACTTATTAAGCCAATGGAATAACTATATCTTTACTTCCGCTTCTTAAACTAATATATTCCCTTGCCCCAATAAAATAGGCTCAAATTCTTCCCCTCCCAGAGGAAGTAAATAAAATAACTAGGGCTCTAACCGGTTTGACTCAGTGGATAGAGCATCAGCCTGTGGATTGAAGGGTCCCAGGTTCGATTCCGGTCAAGGGCATGTACCTTGGTTGTGGGCACATCCCCAGGAGGGGGTGTACAGGAGGCAGCTGATTGATGTTTCTCTCTCATCGATGTTTAAAACTCTCTATCCCTCTCCCTTCTTTTCTGTGAAAAATCAATAAAATATATATTAAAAAAATGACTAGGAAAATTTTTTTATGAATGGTGGAATCCTAAAATAGCAAACATAAAATGTAAGCTGTATGCTTGGCTGAGTACCAGAAAAATAAATAAATCATAGAGCCCATCCATTTACCAAAATGACCACCTTTTTGGAAGTGTCGAAAAATGAGGGGAAGACTTCAGTCAAGCCCCAGTCTCCTTTTCACATATCATTTTATTCTGTGTTTATAACCTATTTTTGTCAATATGAGATTGAAGGCATTTTCCTACTCTAATTCTCTTTCTGTCCCTGGGTAACTTTTTGCCCTGCATCAAGAACACAAACTAAGGACTTGTATGCATGCATATAAAAAGGATAAGCAATGGACACAGTCACTGGGGGTGTGGGGGGAGGGCATGTGCCAGGGAGTAGGGGAGGCTCAGGGGAGGTCAATGAGGGAAAAAGGAGACATATGTACTACTGTTTGTAATACTTCAAACAAAAGAAAAACAACAACAAAAAACCCCACAAACTAGTCTAGCTCAAGGTAAAAAACAAATTGGTAATAGGGTCCAAAGAAAATAAAACATCTCATTCCTATCCTTTGCTCTATTATATATCAATTTAATTATTACAGGAGAAAGACAAGTTATAAAGTATGGATGGATAGAACAGAAGGGTTTGTTTTAATAAACTATTTCTCACCTCTTTAGATTTGGAACTTCTACCAGTGGTGCTTTTAGGATTCTTGGTGTTTTGCCCAACCAAAGTCTGAAATATTAAGTAAAAAATGTAGAAAAAAAAAGAATTTACAACTAGGTTATTAGTGTTCTTTAAAAAGGGAAAGAAAAAAAATTATCCAAACACATTCAGTTATGCCAATATTTACCAGGTATACCAAACTAAGTCACCAGTTAATAACAGTGTAGGCATAATCTATAAGTTGTAGTTAAATTCAGTTTTACTGACCTTTTCCAACAATATCTAAGTTGGGCAATCAGTAAGCTGATAAATAAAGCTTCATTTTAAAACAGAAAAGTTTCCCATTCAGAAGCAGAGTACTAAGTCACTTTAGGAGACTCACTGCAGACTTTATTTTTAAACCACAAAGTTAAGTTTCTGACCACATTTTATCCAAATAAAACTTTCCAAACCTGTTAATAATTATGAACTCGAGCTTATTATTCTAAATGTCTATCCGCTTAGATCAATGGAACCAGAAAGAGAAACGGAAGCTTGGGAGTAAAGTGAGATGAAGTATAAAACAAGATAACATCTACTCCAAAGCTACAACAAGAGAGCATATCACTTCAAAAATACATTGAGCTATTCTTCCTACCCTCCTCACCTTATTGTTGCCGTCATCCCGTTTCATGGTGGAAGGTCTAGCCTCTGTTTCCTGAGACTGTTTTGTAATATCCCTGTAATCCAGTTTAGAATCCTTGTCTGGCAGAGCTGAGATCCTTCCACTGCCTCCTCTGGTAACACCGCTGTGAGTAGATTTGATTTTACTGCTGTTTTCGGCCAACCTGGCGCTTGCAGGTTTAAGACCCAATTCCTTGGCTGAAAGTTTCTTTTCAGCATTTATGTGATCTCTGAGTACAGGTTTTAGAAAACTTTTCTGGTTTTCAGATTTGGAAGCTGTAGTTTTTGTCTTTGGAGAAGAGACCATACCAGACTTGATGCTTGATTTACTGCTAGGTGCATTTGATGTAGCCAGCATACTAGTTTTACTAGTTTCATCAGGCTTACTGGCCTGGCACACTCCTTTATTTGGGTATGCCTTGATCCCAGTGTTTTCTGCAGGCTTTTCTTTCGTTGCTACCACAATCTTTTCCACCTTCTCTGCGACCATCCTAGCATCATTCTTTTCAGCCTTCCCTGTTCCTATTTGCAGATCCATTTTGGTTTCCTTAGTATTAAATTCATTCTCCTCCTGTTCATCCATGTTACTTTTTTCAGAAATTCCGTTTTTGCTCATTGTCTTCTCATCCCCAGTGGAAATTCCTGGTACCAGGGTCACAACACAAGTAGATGGTACTATTTCTGAATCAGTTTCATGTTTGTCCACTTCAGCTATAGCTTCTATCATAGCCTGTGTAATCCCAGAAAAGAAGTCTTCTGCTTCAGATGGAGATTCTTCTAGAATTCCTTGGATATTCCTTTCTTCTATAAATGCACTGTCAGATGTTGCTACTTCTGTTTCAGCTTTAATAATTTCTGCCTCTTCCTTCCCAAAGTCACTGGTATACACCTGCTGATTTAAAACAGACTCCTCTACATTTTCGGTGAATAATTCAATATTGGTTGGAATGGTTTCTACAAGAGGAATTTCCACTTTGACCTCCTCTCCTTGAGTTTCAATTTCCAACGTTTCAATAGCAAAGTCAGAGTCACATAGTATTCTGTCAGGTTCTTCCTCACAAAACTCTTCCTGTTGTACAGAAGTTTCTGTTTGAATGCTGGGAATAGTTTCTTCTTCAACCTCACTAGGTTTAACAGAGGGACTATCAGCTGCTGTGTGCACCTCACTTTCATCAACTGGATTGTTTTTCAAGTCAGGGCTAAAAGTATTTAAAAACAAACAAAAAAGAACACAAACAAAAACACAAACAAAAATCAAACTATGATGAGAATTCAACCATCATAAATAATCCCGTTGATGCCAATTGTTAAGAGTTCCTAATGCATTAATAATAAGCATAGGGAAATCCAGCCAATTAGCATAAAAATGGTTAAGATGCCTTGATGTAAATATGTAAACAATATAAAAATTTTAAAGAGATCCTCCAGTGCATTGAAGATTTCTTTTTAGTTCAAACGAAACGGCAAAATTATAACCATTTATCCGATCCCTGTACTCATTTAAGTTATAATAATTTTTTTTCTTCTGTGTTAAATTTGCATCTTATTTTTAGGTCCTATCTTTCTAACAGTGGTAACTGAAATAATACATATGTAACTTTACAATAAAACTAATAATCTACACATTGAAATCTAAAACCTTACCTAAAAGGAACAACATAAACAGAAACTAATAGTAAGTCACCTCTTTTTTAATACTCTGTTGGATATTTAAAGTTAGAGATGAAACTGATAGTGTCTAGTGTCACCCTAACATAAATATGAGGTCTTATTATAAAATATGTACCTTTGGCTATATTATGAGAAGAAATATGTTAAAAGAAATATTTCCAGTTATAGAGAATAATATACAATTCCAATACATAACTTAAAAATGTAAGTAAAATTATTCAGAATAAATGGAGGAAATAAATGTAACTGATCTTATTTCATTGTGGTCTTTCCAAATGAAAGGTAAGCAAAAGTGTGAGTCTATCATTAAACTACTTTCATTGAGACAGAGACAGAATAAACTATATTAATGTCCCAAAGATCAGATGTAATTTTGAAGAGTAACAAGGAAAATCCAAGCTTCTGAAGACAGTGTCCAGCATGTTATCAACACAAATTGAAGTTCAACAAATACATTCACTTAATTACATCAGAAGCAGCAGGTTGGAGGAAGACACCAGACAGAAAGTGGTCATGCCACATCAGTATCTCATAGCAAAGAGTATCTACATTTTCCCCCCTACTTTAAAAAATAGGAGGTGATGAGATACCCCCTATGATATGATTCTTAAGAGGTGGCCATATATCCTTTATTGAACACAAGATAATGTGTATCTGTGTCCTGACACGTTAATAATATTTTAGAAGTTTGGAAAAAGTGCTATCACATAAGGGTCTAATAATTGGAGGCAGTAAACTAGTCCTCTCCCTAAAACTGGTAGGTAAGTTTAAACTTCCAAAGGAGAAAACTTTTTTAAGAGATCAGAAAAATACCTCTTGATAAAAAGTGTAAGGGCAAAGAGGCTGAGGAATTTAAGTTAAACAGCCAGTAACCATAGACCTTAATCAACACATTTATTCATTTATATAAGCATATAAACTACCCTTCACACGCTGAAAGGGTTTAAATGTTGTTTTAAATAATTCACACCCCTTACATTAAAAAATACCAATGGCTGATTTGGAGTGTTCCAAATTTTTAGGACTAGCACAAATATGACAAAGACAAGAAAAAGTTGTGACATTCAGTTACAGCAGTTACATAAATATGATTTCTCAAAATACAAACATTTTGTTTTTAAATCACAAGACTCATTTCCAATGATAAGGATTAAATTCAAATTTCTGCCTCATTCCAGAACTGTGTATTAACCCTAAAGCCTTTACAAATTAAGGCTATTACAAAAACACCAATCTAGTGGTCTAGAAGACTAGCAATGCGGATTTTGATTCCTGACTCTAGAATACAGCAAATCCTTCCCCTTTGCCATATTTAAAGTTCGTCAATTAAAAAAAAAGCTATTATCTTTTCTATAAAATGAATCACTATGCAGCAGTTCCATATTTCAAACAGAGAGCATAGACCTACTTGGAAAATGGCTCAATTCCATATTTGTTCTTGTGCATGGTTTTTTTTAAAATTACAGTGCTTTCTTCAAAAAATTCATTTACCAAAAATTAATATCTAGTTTTCTGGCTAATATGGGGAAAAGTCTCAATATTCATCTAGTTAGCTTGGAAAGTCAGTTTGAAATGTCAAGTACATGTAATTATTAACATAAGAAGTCAAACAATCAGTCTTTCAGAAGATCAAAGGAAAACAATCAGATTCTGGGAAATGGCACAAAAAATTGGTCCCAGGAAGGCATTCAGGATACAAGTATTAATTTCCCACCCTCTGCCCACCTCCATCCTCCCCATAACACCAGAGTTTCAAATCTTCAGAAAAGGCATACAATAAAAGCTGGGCATGAGAACAAATGGTAAGACTATACCACATACTATACAAGAAACTTTAGACTGAGACTTAACAATGCTGAAGATTAGTGTTTATTTCAGAGTGCCACTGGATACTTCCCAACATTATAAATGAATTGATGAAAATCTTGTGTCCTTATTTTGAGGCTTAATCACATGGTAAATAATGTTACATGGGGGAAGACGAGAACAGGCAAAATGTAGTTATTATTATATTATTAATATATTCATGTGAGATATCCTTTCAGTAGAAAATATATTTAAATACTTCAACTATAAACAAACAGGCAAAAAAGCACCCATATTTTCTCAGAATCAGTTTAACTCCAATAAACAAATATGAAGTATTTGGGCTAAAACCCACATCTTTTTCTCTAATGTCATATAAGTCAGAAAAAAACTGAGTGCAAAATGGGAATTAAAAAGTTATTAGTGCTAGAATTTTTTAAATTGATGTTTAAGATTAGACAATTATCTCTAAATTCATTAAGAAATATATTTGATTTTAAAAGTCAAAACGAGAGGGAAAAAATGACCAAAACACAGATGATGCCTATTCCTGCAGACCTGAAAGAAATTTTGTCAGATGAAATGTATAAAATAGAATTTTCAAAGAGTTTATTACCAGCCAGAGTTACTGTGGCCAAACTGTAGGTCTATCTTCACTACTATATGTGGCATTGTTACTTATTAAGCCATTCATGGGCTTGTATATCAAACATTGCTTTTGGTATTACTTCTTAGGCATATGAATATAATTGGTATGATGTACAACTTAAAGTTTGTGCCCACACATACATCAAATCTACTGCTTCAAGTCACCAACATATTTTAATGTACTCATAACCCTCTATCATTTAAAAGTCTCATTTAATAAATATTAATTACTGAGAAGAAAAATCGGTAGAACTTCCTATTTTTCTGTTCTTCAGGCATCTTACAATTAGTGCATCAAATAAAATAAACTCTCCACATTTTAAGCACTTTCAAAATGCTCTCATACTTAAAAGCTCTTACTACATTAATTCCAACAAATAAGGGTAAATTACATTAATTATATAAAGGAAGGAAAAAGAGTTTAAATTCGTAAATCCCAATAAAGAGTAGTAACAGGGAGATTATTCATTGGTGGGGCAAAGGTGGTGCTATGAGTGGATTCATCAGGAAGAGAGAGTGACTAAAAAGACAATGTGGTCAAAACAAAGCTGTGAGTGAGCCACTACTTTGTGTAGATTCTGAAGAACAAACTTTCATCCTCTGAAAATATAAAGCAGCATACATATTACTGTTTTATAAATATCCCTTTCCACACCCCAGCTGTTTTTAAAAAGTATCAAAATACACACTGAACATTACCTTTTTGGTTTTAAGTGTAATTTTAAAAGATTATGCAAAAAGATTGAAGTGTTACCATTGTAACTATTTTGGAAAAGAAAATCTAACATGAAGAATATAAAACTGATCAGAGTCGAGTTAAGAGTCTTAGCAAAACATTTAATAAAGAAGTCATATTTATATATTTAACTCAAATTGTGTTTATACAGTTTTTCTAAAAAACAAATCTGTAAATACCGAGACAAAAAACAAAAACAAAAATCACCCCCTTGGTCAACAAAACCAAAAGAGAAAACCACAATACTTATATGTATACAAAATGCACATGTAAATAAGAAATTTTTGCTACAGGTGAACAATTACTACAAAATACAGAAATGAAATGCAGTAATTAACTAAATACTAGATGAAAATGTTAATATACTTAAAGCCACATACCTTTCTTTTCCTAGTTCTTGGTCTTTCTCAGCTTGAGCCTGTAACATAATTCCACATTTTAGTAGAGCCTATTATACTAAACTTTAAGTATTTAACCCATCAATGCAATGATTTCAATTCTTAAAATCTAAGCAAAAATACATAAATAAATAAAAACAATAAAAAACTACACAAGATATATTAAAATAAAAGTTAATTTTCAGTGTTCATATAACTATCAGGTTCTAGATAGGTTAGGTTATAGAGAAAAACTTCTCAGGTTAGGTTATAGAGAAAAACTAACAATAGCAACTAATGAGAAAAATAAGTTTCCTTCGTGTTGACATAAATAGGAAATAAACTTTTAACTTTAAAAACCTGGAAATACCACCTTTAGCTAAGAATAAAAACAATCTGAAATATCAACTTCTTCATTGTGCAATTATTACTGAAAAAACTTCTATTCATAAGGGAAACTAGTTGACTTGAAGAAGTTTTCTACTCAAAAACACCTAGAAAAGTTGGACAAAATTTAACAATAATCTTTTAGACACATATCTGAACCACCAAGAAAGCAATTATTTGGGGCCCAAAATGGAAGGAGGAATTAAAATTCAGTGTCTATGTACCAAACACTTAGGATATATCACAGTGAGTGAACAAAACAAGCAAAAATATATGCCCTTTATTTATTTTAATTTCCTTTTAGTTAATTGAATTTATTGGGGTGACATTTGTCAACAAAAACATACAGGTTTCAGGTGCACCATTATACAACATATCACCTGTACACTATACTATGTGTTCACCACCCCAAGTCAAGCCTCCAGCCATCACCAATTCTCTCTCCTATACCTTCCTCCATCTCCACCCTACAATCACCACACTGCTGTCCACATCCATAAGTTCTCTTTTTATTTTTATCTCAATCTCTCCACCCCCCGCAATCTCTCACACAGATGTCAGCCTGGTCTCTATCTATGCCCTTTAAAGCTTACACATGCTAGCTGGAGGCTTTTTCTGTGGGAATTGTGTCCTTTGAATTGAGAATTATCTTTCTCCATATTTTGTCAAATTAAAACTCAGACTTTTACTTAAAAAAAAAAAAAGAGTAATGTGCCCAGAGAGAATTCCTGGTGTGGGTGTTGGAGTCCCAGAGAAAAGGCTTTCTTTACTGAGGTATCTGGTGGGATATCTAGACTATATCGTAATGATTTATGACTGAAATGAAAGATGGCAGTTGATAAATTCCATCCACAGTGTTTCCATACAGTTTATATGATAGTAGAGGAAATCTATACCAGATACCTTTAATTAGCTAATTTGCTTCTTTATTCATAAATAGGTAAAAGAAAAAACATACAAATGCACAAAAGTGAACAAGTATATTAAAATGGCTGAGTGTATTACAGACAACTGAAGAGCTTTAAAAACACCTCTAAAGAATATCCTCTCTAAAGAATTTTTCTAAGAAAAATTCAACAAGATATATATCATTTGCAAAATTGGTATAGGTGTTATTTCCAGAAAGACAGAACATTAAAACTGAAGACAAGAAAAATAATCAAAGAAATAATAGGAGGAAAACATTCACCAGATCCAGGACACAGTAATCTTTAGACTTTCATAAATTCCTTCAGTCCTGTAAGCAGGATCTAGAAAATAAGTTCCAAACTAAGATAAAACCTTGCACACTGCACTAGCCCTATGATCATCCTTGAAAACTTTTGAATCACCAATGTTCTTAACACCTTCGCTTTTCTAAAAACCTCTTTATTCATGGCGCTTACTTCCTTCAGATCTCTCACTTAACTCTACCTCAGAGGGTCTACTCCTGACCACTCTAAAACACACATATTCCCATCCATCACTCTCTATCCTTTTATCGTGATTTGTCTCCATAGCACATCATTGCACTTTTTACCACTGGACATTATATATACAGTGGGGCCTTGACTTATGAGTGTCCCGACTAATGAGTTTTTTGAAATACCAGCTGTCTCTCGGCCAATTTTTTGCATTGAGTTGATAGAGTAATTTGAGTTAACGAGCTCCTTAACGAGCTGTCTCGGAACGAATTAAACTCGTAAGTCAAGGCCCCACTGTAGTTCTTATCTGTTTATAGTCCATCTCCTCCACTAAATAAGTTCTTCGAATACTGGGACACTGATTCTTCTGTCATCAATGTATTCCAATATCTAAAGTATGCTGTCATAGAAAAGGAATCCTATCCAATAATAGACGAACATGGTAATTAACCATACCTCCGCTATGCTTCCCATTGGCTAATCAGCAGGATATGCAAATTAACTGCCAACAAAGATGGCGGCAAGCAGCCACGCAGCTGAAGCGAACATGAGGCTTGCTTGCTCCAGTGATGGAGAAAGCCAAGGTTCCCCGCCTGACGCGGCCCAGCTCTGAGATCCAGAAGCAACAATGTTTCAATTATAAAAGCTAAACAAACCCAGATACCTGCTTTCAGCCAGCCACAGCCTCAGAGCTGGAGCTGGGCCTCAGAGCTGGACTGGCCAGTGCCCCAAGCGGGGCCCCCACCCTGATCCGGATCACCCTTCAGGGCAAATCAGCCGGCCCCAACCTGTGCACCAGACCTCTATCCTATAGAGTAAAAGAGTAATATGCAAACTGACCCTAACAGCAGAAAGACTGGGAATGACTGGTCACTATGACACACACTGACCACCAGGGGGCAGACGCTCAATGCAGGAGCTGCCCCCTGGTGGTCAGTGCGCTCTCACAGCGGGGAGCTGTGCTCAGCCACAAGCCAGGCTGGTGGCTGCCAGTACAGCAGTGGTGGTGGGAACCTCTCCTGCCTACTCAGCAGCGCTAAGGATGTCCGACTGCTGCTCAGGTTTGCTCCCCGCTGGCAAATAGACATCCCCCAAGGGCTGCCAGGCTGCCAGAGGGATGTCTGATTGCCATCTTAGGCCCAATCCCCTGGGGAGCAGGCCTAAGCCAGCAAGTGGTCACTCCCGAGGGGTCCCAGACTGCGAGAGGGCCCAGGCTTGGCTGAGGGACCCCCTACCCCCGAGTGCACAAATTTTTGTGCACCAGGCCTCTAGTTAGATAAATATTTGTTTAATGAATAAATGCTAAAAGCTTTCAAAGAGGAAAAAATAGAATATATAAAAGTATGGTTACACTCAGCCTTCTCAGCAATACTAGTTAGGAAATAATAAAAGAAAAAAAACAATATGCGCATAGAATTCTCCACCTAGGCAAACGATCAATGAAATATTTTCTAAAGGCAAAATAAATCAGTTTCAAATATGCAGGGATTCATATTTAACAGTTTACTGCCCACACATACTTTCTGCAGAAAATTATTTGACAGTGCACTCTAGCAAACAGTAAAGTAATCCAAGAGAGTAGGAGATACAGCATCCAGGAAATAACAAAAATAACTCAGAAGACCAAGAAAAAAATATCAAAAATCAAAGATGTACCATTGCATTAGCTTCCTCACTCGCAAGCTCCAAGGGCCCTTCCTTTACCTTTATAACTTTTTTCTCTAAGTCCATTCCTTCTACAAATCACTTTTTCTACCTCCATGATTTTATAAACACACACACACACACACACACTAGAGGCCTGGTGCATGAAATTCATGCACTAAGGGCAGGGTGGAGGGGGGGGGGGTCCATCAGCCTGGCCTGCACCCTCTCGCAGTCCAGGAATCCTCGGGGGATGTCCCTACAGGGAGCGGGCCTAAGCCATCAATCAGACCTCCTTAGCACTGCCGCACAGCCGCACAAGGCTCCCACCACCACCGCTGCCCT